AGAACTGAATATGCAAAAGAAATGACATCTGCTCAGATACTGTCTGATCTTACCACAAAATCCAGTTGACTATGATTTTTATGGCATCATTGAGGCATTGAATGGCCTCCACAGTGATTCTTGCCTCCTGTCCCACCCTGTTTAACAGGATACCGATGGCGAATGACCAGATGACCAGTCCTATCATGTTGGGTCCATCAACATACCTGCCTACTAGTTTCGTCTCAGTACCATTCTGCACAAAAAACACAAGTATGGCGGCTCCAGCTCTCTGACAACAATATTGTAGGAGTACATCACCTTGTTGGACAATGCATTTCACTTTTTCATAAGTCAACATACAACCATTGATTTTAATGCATTTAATGTGCATTTATTTTGTAAAAGACCACTCTAAGTCACTGCATGATTGTGAAATGTAATGGCACAAAGTCAAGTGTCAAACCCTTTACACACACACACACACACACACACACAAAAATAACGTAAGCAAAATGTAGCCAAATGGAAAGTAAAGGAAGGAACCAGCAAGGAGTGGCTGAGAAAGAGGTGTATCAGGTTGAATGCTGAACAAAGATTTGGGCTAATGAGCTAATGGGTGACAGGGCTGAGGAGAGACAGAAAGAGGCACAAGGGGTGAGAGAGAGAAGACTTTGGACTAGGAAATGAATCTAACAAAAATAATTAGACATAAGAATTATAAATAAAACTAGAGTAACTAAGGAAAGGACAAGACAGAAAAAAACTAGAATCACTAAGAAAATGATAGAAACGGGGCAGAACGAAGTAAGTAAGGAATACAAATAATGACAAAACAAAAAAACTCAAAAAACCCAAGATCTAAGCTCTAATAGTATAGGGTTTGCATGGTTGCTTTTCCTATGTCCTAACTATGGCACACCTTACTGTTACAATGGCAAACACCACCTCCCCATTCAGGCTTTAAATAAGAAGAAACTCAAGGCCATTCTTTTTCTTCCTCTTCAATTTGAAGCTTGTGGCTGTAAACAAAGATCAGAAGAAAATACTCACCAGTTTTGGATCAAGGGAGAGGCCAGGTTTTGTTTTAACCTGAATAATCTCAGTCTCGTACTAAGAGAGAAAAAAAAACTGTTACATTTCCAAACCCCAAATAGGAAATTACATAATAAGCTGTGGGCCAGAATAAAAGCATACCTGCTCATAGAAAGCCTGAAAGAAGCTCTCTGGAACCATATTCCTATGCAAGTAATAGGATAGTCAGAAAAAACTAAGCTTGTAAATGTTAAAGACAAAAAAACATGCAGATGTTATTTTACCCAGAGATTCATTTCACAAAAACCTATATAATGTCATGGTGTGGTGTGGCGGTGGACTCAAATACAGCAGGCAGTAGAGCTTATAAGATCTCACCTCATAAGATCCTGCAAGATCACGTGCAAGACAAAGCTTGACACCTCCTCTGTTTTCTTGCCTACTTCATGGTCTCCCACACCAGGCTTGAATGTGAAAGCCATAAACATTCCTGCAACACAAAGTATCAGGCAGGATGTCAAAAGCAATAACACAGATCAAATTATAGCGGTCTTCATAAATCTATCTTAAAATCTGCTACCCATGATAAATTTACCGAGAATTACGGCTATTGAGGTAGAGCCACAGACGAAGGTCCCTGTGATGATAGCTGTTTTCCTGGACACTCTGGTGTT